AGAGCGGCTTGATGTTGGAGCCGAATCCAGCGATGTTCAGCAAGGAGCCTGACGGGAGGCTCTTCACCGCCACCAGCAAGCCCTCCTGGGAAGACAAAACCGGGCATGCCAGGCAGGTGAGGACAGCGAGAGAAGAGTGGCAAGGGCAGGCTGCATGCCGTGTCCCTGCCCCCCGCCACAGAGATCTCAGAGCCGGGCACTGTCTGCTCAGGTGTGCTTGTGGCAGAAGCAGAGCTGCCCCGCTCGGGTGTCACCTGCTGTCACTCCCTGGGTGACCGTGGTCATGTCACATCGCTTCCCCTCTGAGTCCCTAACCCCCAGCTGTGAGAGGATCCCCTACTTATCATCCAACAGCAGTGCAGCAGAGGCAGCTCCCGCTGCCATGCCCTTCACAGGCAGCTTCTCGGGCATCCCAGAGGCAGAGGGCTGGAGCAGGGACCTACAGCAGGGCTGAGATGGCCTAGTGGGGTCTTCAGAGGGGTTTTGCTCTTTGCAGACAGGGCAGAGTAGCAGGGCCTGCGGATGCTGCTCCAGGAGGAGCAGACCAGCGAGCAACTGAGGACAGGCTCACTGGGGGAAAGAGGCAGAAGGCAGCACGGTGAAAGAGGGGGATTCAGCTGGAGAGGCTGAGCAGGGAAAGGGAGGATGAGGAGCCTGAGCTGTTTGTCATCCCGGCCATGGTGCTTCAGCCTCCGATCCTTCACAGCAATCTCAGCCTCCGGACCTGGCTGCGTCCAGTGAGAGCCTGCGGGGAAGGTCCTGCAGCTGTCCCAAGGCCCTGCCGGGACCCCTGCACTCCCTGAGTTGGACAGGAGTGACCGGGCAGTGCAGCCGGCAGAGTTGCACCAGCTGAGCGTTGCCCTTGTGCATCACACCTCTGATGTCCCAGGGCTCCAGGATCTCCCAGGCAGAGGACCCCCCGCTGCTGCTCGCCTCCTGCTTCCTAAAGAGAAGCCCCCGTTTCCCCAAGGCTCTGGTCTCCCTCCCCATCTCTGCATCCTCTCCCTCCCCTCGCTGCGACCTGTCGTTTCCTCCCTTGGTCTCGGCTCTGAATCTCATTAAGCCAGCTGTTGGCTTCTCTTTCGGGCACTAATGAGGAGCATAATGAAGATAAATCTGTTAATGTTTATACGGCAGCTTTGTCACGTCGAACACCAGGTGAACACTGCACTCCCTCAGCCAGGTCCTGACGACAAGGGGGTCGCCCAACCGTCCGCCAGTGCCAGGGAGAGCCGGGCTGAGACGTGCTGCTCTGGGCACCCCCAGCACTCAGGGCCCTGCTCTGTCCCCTGCTGTCGGGGGAGCAGACAGGCTAAATGGCCCCAGCTGGCCCTGGTTGAGCCAGGACACCAGCGACCAAACCACCTCCGGCTGGGTGCTGCTCCCTGCCAGAGCCCTCAGGCTGCTGCCTCCTTGGTCTTCATTTCCTGGGTCCTGCCTTTCACTCCTAGTGTCCCAGGCCCTGGGCGCAGCCAGTTTGTGCCCAGTTTCCTGTTCTTGGGGTCCTACCTGTTGTCTTCACCCTTGTTTCCGGTCCCAGGTGCAGCCCGGACCCTTGTGTTCCAGACCCCAGTCCTCTGGTGGTCAGCGCCAGGCTCGTGGCTTGGCTTGGTGACTGCCCACATCCCAGTCCCACACAGATACACCTGTCTGCCCCAGACACGCTGGCTAGTGACACCCGTCTGGCTCCCTGCCTCCTGTTCCTAGCACCCTTAGCTCATGGCTCTACCCAGGGTGACGGCTATGTCCTGGACCCTTGCAAACCCTGGCCCCACAACCCACCTGCGTCTGGTGCCCCTGCTCTAGTCTGCCTCCTTGCCTCTTCCTGACCCCCTGGGCTGTGACCACCTGTATCCGGACCATGCTCCTGTCACCTGCCCCCTTCATCTCAGGGTTGGTCCCGGCCTGCAGTCTCCACTAAGAACTGCATCCCAGCTTTAATGCCATTTGCCAGGCCCCTTCCTTCAGCCTCTCAGGGTTCCCAAGACATACTGCAGCTCTGGCTGCGGAGCCATTAGAATGAATGGTGCCAGCAAGATGTCGTGAAGCACTACCACGTGCTTCTCCTCCTGTCATCTCTCTCTGCAAACTACCATGCTCCCTTCGTCCATCCATTTGCAGGTCTCTGGGTGGCAGCTGTCTAGCCTCCACTGCACCTGCTCATACTTCTCTTGCTGATACCCCGCAGAGGGTCTGTCCCGTTGCTGTCGTAGGGAGAGGTTACATGTACTCTCTGGTCACCCCCTGGCATGTGTATCATCTAGAGCCGCATTGAGGCCTCTCCAGGACTCTCCGCCGCTCTCCAGACATTGCTCAGTGCTGTGCTGGGATGAGTGCCAGCCAGACTGGCTGCTCTCACGTGTGCCAGGTATTCCCTCATCGGCTTTCAGTGCTGGTTCTAGGTCCTCCTTATTCCCAAAAATAAAGGGAAAAAAATCCAGCCAGAACAGCTGGCCTGAAGAGGGGCCAGGGAGCTGTACAGCAGCTGTGGAGCTTTCCACAGAGGCCACTTCGGCATAGCAGTGCTGTCCAGGGCACTTATGCAGCCTCGGCCCCGTGGTGAAGGGGATGAGAGGATTCAGACAAAGGCAAACACCAGACCCCACCTCTAACCAGTCCATACCTCCTTCCCCAGTACCCGCCCCTGCTGTGCCCATGGCTTCATTCCCCTACTACAGCTCCCCACCTCCACAGCCCAGGGACCCCAGGAGGAAGGGCTGGATTTAGCCCTGAGGATGCCATAGCTATGGCCAGGCCCCCTCCCCATAACCTTCCCACGGCAGTGGTCTTAGCTCGAGCTCACCCTGATCTCGACCAAGCAACAACTGGGAGTAACAGAGTCACCATGTTATACTCAAGCCTTGTGATAAGCATGAAGGAAATCTGAGAGTGACCGAAATCACCTCTCTCCACCCTCCCCCTAATGGGACGGTTTCAGACAGCTCCATAACACCCCTGAGCACTCAGGGACCACACGGCCACGGGTTGCTCCTGGCTGTGCTCCAGGTCCAATCCCCCCAGGCAGGGGGACATTGCCAGGGCCAGAGCTGGGCCCTGCACCTGCCCACCTTGATGCGGTCGATGTTGGGGCCACTCATGCTGCCACTGCGGTCGACAAGGAAGAGGATCTCCCGAGTGACGGTCTGGAGGTCGGTGGGGAAGCTGCCCACCTCCGGGCAGAAGTTCAGCATCAGCACCGGGTTGTGGAAGATGTCTTTGTGGAACCGCTTCTGAACAAAGGCTACCTACAAGCAGAAGTGAGGGGACGGGTAAGCTCTGCCAGTCCTCCCCTTCCTCCTCCCCTTCCCACAAGCCTTGGGGGGCTCCTCCTTGCCTCCAAGCCCTGCACTGGAATTGCCTACTCCTCTGATGCTCCAGCCTTTCCCCACCTGTGCCTCAGTCCTTTAGCTGGCCCCTTCCCTGGACTGTCCTGCCAAAGACCCCCGGGGCAGGTCACCTGTCTCTCCCCGTCGCTGTCCCTCTTGGCAACTCGAACGTAGTCCCGGCGGCTCCGGATGTGAGCCTCATATTCCTGGTACGTCATCGTGCCCTCCTCGATGACTAGATGGGGGTGATGAGGCTCTGGGAACAAGGACAGACACTCGGAGTGGTCTGTGGCACCCGCCCAGCAGCCCTTCGTCCGCTGAATCAAGCATTTAAAGGGGAAAGCAGCTGAGAAGTGAGGTGCTGGAAGGGGAGCCTCGGCCACAAGAGCCCTGCCCTTTGCAAGCGTGCCACGGGACAGAAAGGGCCCTCCCGAGGCTGTTCAAAGCCGAGCAAATGGAAAACAATCTGCAATACCAGCCACGTCTTCATGTGGGGGAGCCTGGGACAACTCCACCCCAATGCTTCCAGCTGGGAAAGGCAGAGAGCTAAGCCCGTGATGCTCAACCTTCCAGCCCCAGGGGCTGGATGAGTGGCACCGAGTTGGTCCACAGGCGAGATCCAGCCATGGAGCAATCCCATGGGCCAGGTCCAGCTGTGGAGCAATCCCACATGCCAGATGGGGCCACGGCCTGACTCCACGTGCTGGAACCAGCTGCAGAGCCATCTGGCATGCAGAGCCATGTCATGAGGCCTCGAGGACTCCCTAGGGACTGGGTAACACGGCCTCATGGGCCAGATTCAGCTCAAGGGCTGGAAGTGAAGACCACTGAGCTCAGCAGTCAGGAGCTCTCCCTGTTCTTACCATACCTGCTCCCTTCTCCGCAGCACCTCCTGGAACTGCAGCTGCCCGGACCTCCCTACAGCCCCTGTTCCCACACCGCTCCCAGCACTGCCCCCTGCCAAGGGAAGCCCTGTGCTCCCCAAAGTCAGCGTCTCCTGCATTTCCCTTGCCTTGATCCCTGCACTCTAGCTCTGGGCTTCCGGTTGGAAGCAACTGAACCATGGGTGGCAGGGCTCCTCTTACCGCAGGGGTACAGAATAATCTCCAGATTCCTGTCGCAGCAGTGACCCTCTGCCAAGGTCACACAGATGGTGGAGGCTGAGCTGGCGTAGGGGTTGGCATCGGCCCGGAGGGCATGCGACGGGCTCTCCAAACCTGCAGAACGAACAAGTGGCAGGAGTCATGGACGCTGCAGGTGCCGAGAGGTGCGGGGAGAGAGGGGGGAAGTCTTCCAGCCCGGCCTCTGGATCAGCACTTTGGGTGTACTCCTGCCACGCTGAGAGCCTGGACACATGGCATGTCTACACTGGTGTAAGCAGCCTTCACGGTAACTCACTTCACTCTGGTGTAGAAGCACCCCAGGAAAATCCGGGGCAACTCCACCGGGGTAAGCTCAACTGGTAGAGGTCCAGCGTTATCCTGGGGGCGCCTCTAAGCAAACCGGCTATTACCTGCTGTCTTGCCACCCAGCGATGAGGTGTAACAGCCTCCTGCTGCCTTCAGCTACCCCGGAGGAGCTGCTCCTGGGTCTGCTTTGGGTCCCAATGTCATTTCCACTGAAGTCCTAGGCAGATGGTGGGAACGTGTCGTGTCACGTGGCTGGGCCCTCGGGCCCTGCTGGAGGAGTTGCGGCTCCCCCCCTGTTGTGCCAATCCATTCTCTGACCTGCAACCTTCAGCTCCTCTGCTCTCCACCTCCAGGAGCCAGACAGGAGCATGTGGCATGACAGTAAAATGCACAATAATGGCATTAAAAGAACATTGTGGTCTCTGCAACTGAGGATGGAGATGTTTGGAAGCATCGGTGCATCTACATTTTGCTACCCCCCGCCCTCCTCCAGTCCCTGAGTATCCTGCTGCAGGGTTTTGTCCCATGACAACGTGCTATGTCTTCCCCAGGGGACACCTTCCTTGTTCAGTGAAGTCACTGCTTGCTTCAAGGGCTGGTCCTAGGTTTGATTTATCATCATTCATCACACACCATTTAAACCCTGCACCAAACCCAGAAGCTATCAGTGACCTCCCAGGTAGCCAGCTAATCAATCATCTGCTCTCACCAGCAAAGTGCTCCACAGTCTTTAATTATTTAATCTTCACAGCACCCCTGTGAGCGGAGGCGAGGCAAACTGAAGCACGGAGAGGAGGGCAGCCAACTTGTCCGATATAGCTGCTATTTTACGTGTTTGTGCCATAGGTGTCTTTGCCACCCTTCCCAAAAAAGCCTTGGGGCGTCCGACAATAAAAGACTGGCGTTCACAGATACAGAATAAGACATGAAAACAAGATGGTACAAGACAAGCCGCCTCCAAGCCCCCAAATTCCCGGGCCGTTCACCCCCTCTCCTTCTGCTTCCCTGGCTCTGACCACGGAGAGTGTGCCCCCCGCCCCTCCAGCCTCACTTCTCACCCGCACTCACCATCTCCAAGGAGAATACAGTACCGCCATTTTTTCCCATCCCCTATTTTCCCTCCCACCCCTGTGACGACTCTGAAATTCGTGCTAAGCTGGGGCCTGCCACAACAGTTAAAATACAAATACCGGTGCTGATTGACTAGGGCAAGATGCGAGTTTGTGGCTAGTGCTTCAGAGAAGAAATAATGAGGTATCACTTCCAGCTCATCTTACTATATTTGTGATGGTTTTAAGCAGGCTCCCCTAATTGTCTGGGATGTAGCCGTATGAAATGTTCATCCTTGATTAATTAGTATGGTGAATATTTCTTTTGCAATTCACTCATGTTATGTGCAGGAGTCATTCTCCGTAGGGGACAGATGTCTCCTCCTGATTTACTTCTGTTTTGTCTGGTGGTTCCCTTGATTTTCCAAGGGCGCTCTTCAAAACCTTGTGTTTTCCCTGGTCGTCAATCCATTCCTTGATACGTTACAAAGTTCGTAGTAATTCATTCAAGTTGGAACTTTCTGATAACCAGTAACGAGCAGTTTGATTAACAGGATGTTCCTGTCGGCTCTTGCTGGGGACTTGCTCTTGATTTACACAACTGCAAGAATGCTTTGAAGGTGCTGAGCTAAAGGGTATCAGAAGAGGAACGAACCAGCTAACGTTGCACTTGCTTCAAGGATGAAAGATCTCTCTGACAAGAACTGCTGCCGCGCCCCAGCCCTCTTGAGAAGCTGGAAGAAAAAGGCCGGCTCTCTTGTCGCCTGTTTGATTCATAGGTTCATAGATGGAGGGTTGGAAGGGACCTGAGCAGATCATCAAGTTCGACCCCCTGCCCTGGGCAGGAATGAATACTGGGCTTATACGACCCCCCACTAAGTTAAGCTCATATGACCCCAGCTAGGTAGTTATCAAGCTTCCTTTTAAAGACCCCTAAGGTAGGACCCCTAAGGTTTGATGAGAAATTATCATGTTATAGATAAATACTGGACTTTGCTTTGGTTTGGGCTCATTTAACCATGAGGACTTGTAGTAAATACAGGCATTCCTCACTTAATGTCGTCCCGGTTAACGTTGTTTCGTTATTACGTCACTGATCCGTTAGAGAACATGCTCATTTAAAGTCGCGCAAGGTTCGGTTATAACATTGCTTGGCCGTCACCTGCTAGTAGGTAACTACTGTGACATAATTGGACTTAACATCGTTTCGCTTCAAGTCGCATTTTCCAAGAACGTAACTACGGCGTTCAGCGAGGAATAGCTGTACAGCCTTTCTGTCATCTATCGAACGAGGTGTCGTGTCAATCCTTTAAGACTCCTCCTGCAGTCTCCCACTCAGTTCATTTTTATGCCTCCCTACTCCCATAACACACGTGGCAGGGACCGACACACCCCAGCCTCATGCAACAGCCCTGAGGCATTCCCCGAGTGCAATCCCCGCTGGGTGCTGTGGAAAACACGAGCACTGGTGCAATAAAAGGCTGCACCATAATGCACGGCACCGCTGGGGGTGGAAGGAAGGCTGCATCCTGAGCATGGGCAACACCGCACTTCCCCCCAACCCTGTTTCTGGCTGGTCCAAGAGGAACTCAGCCCACAGCAGGCTCCCGGCATGGTCGAAGTCTGGCAAAGCTGGAAGCAGCAGCTTCTAATGGACAGTGTTAAGCAACTCTAAGTGCAGGCGGCACTACCGCTCGCTCTGCCTGTGCAAGCTGGTCCATGCCCAGGGAGGGAGAGAGATGGAGCATGCTCCTCTACCCCAACCTCCAGCCCCAGCCCAACCCCAAGCTGTCCTGCAAGACTGCCCAGTGCTAGCTGATGGTTCCGGGTCTGCATGTCTGCAGTAGCTGCCACGGGGGGACTTGGGGCCTGGTTAAGGCACACCCTGAGAAGCAAGCACTGCTAGGCAAAGGGGTGTCATTAGCCAGGTGGGAGAGACCCTTTCCCCCTCCTTTCAGCGGCGTGCAAGTGTGCTCACCGGCACGTACACACACACATATACACTCCTGCTGGCACAAGTGCTTGCACTGGCATGCGCAGCTGCCTGTGCACGCCTGGCTCCGTGCCCTTGCAAACACTTGCGTTCAGGTGCCTGTTCTGTGCGCACACCAAAGCAAACAGACACGCACCCCTTTGTGCTCACATCTGTGCGCACAGACCTCCCCGCCCACACAGCCGCACGCGCGGGGGCTCATGCTCACGCTCACATGGGGCCCCTGCTTGCTGAGAGGGAGTAGTAAGGTACTAGGCTTCATGGAAGGAGGAGGTATCCTGGGAGGAGATCTGGGGGAGAGGAGGGCGGGAGCTGACGGGAAGGGCCAGGAAAGAAGCTCTAGGCACAGGGGCAGCACGGAGAGGCCCTCGGCCCCTCTCACTAAGCCAGTGCCCTCCCTCTTCACCCTGCAACCTCTCCAGACGTGGCCTCCACTGAGCAAGCCACTGTCTAGTCACCACCCTGTGCCATGCTCAGCGCAGCCTCCCAGCCCCAGCAGCTTGGAGAGGCAGAGATGAGTTTCCTCGAGCCGTAGGAAGAACTGCAGGGATGTTCACGGTCCAGCTGGGATCCCCCGAGGACTCAGGGAGGGAGGAGCCGGCCAGCAAACTGATGCAGCATCTCAGAGGCAGACGGGCCCCGAGCCAACACTAATGGTATTAGTTCTGCTAACCTCTCCAGCACCCGTTCCACTCTCTGCAATTCACTCCCATCACCCTTCTCTCCACAGCACTTCCTCTCCCCTGCAGCCATCCCTCATGTCTCTAAGGGGAGGATATCGACTAAGCTATAAAGAGGCAGGCTTTTACCGCTGGCGCGAGTGGCGGAGAGCCCATCACAGGTGAAATGAGTTGACAGGTCTCAGCCATAAATCCATGATGCTCAGAGGCATGTGGGCAGCTGTAGGCAGCCCAGCCAGCATCTCTCAATGCCCTGAGACTCCTCCTGCTTTCCCTCACTCAGGAACCTCACTGAGAGACGCTAATTAATTCTTGCTGATCGTCTGTCGTAGACATAGCCTGTTAATCCTACTTTAGACCCAAAGGAAGTGAGTGTAACGCTCCAGCCAGGGTGTTGTGCCATCAGCGAAGAACCCAGAACAGCCCTGAGAAGAAGGCACCCAAGGAGGGTGAGTGGTGGGGTGTTTTGGGGCAGGACAAGACTGCCACTGGCCCACAGTGTGGTTTTTATAGGCTAAATCTGGGCTGTGTCTTGCATCAGATTTAGACCCGGCCTGTAGCAGAGCAGGATGCCATCAGACAAGGGTCCTGGGGAAGGAGGAACCATGTTAGCATGAGTCCCTTGGCTCTGGCAGGATTATGTCATATTAATTCAAACCCCCACCCTTTAATTTATGTCCCATAGATTGGAAAAGGACGGGGAGATGCTGAGGAAAAGCAGAAGGAGAGGGCTTGGAGGAGGGATAAGACCTAGGTTTGTCCTAGGATACCAGAAGGAAATTCATTTGGCAATGAGGCTCATCGCTATTGAGTCATAGAGAAGTCAGCCTGGAAGGGACCTGGTCCAATCCCCTGCCTAAGACAGCATCGTCCCTCTCCAAACTATCCCGTACACATCCATCATCTAAACTCTTCATAAAACTACTGTCAACCCTGACACGACACAAGACATCGCACCTGAACCTGCCACAGGTAAAGCCGGGGAACCACAGCAGCCAATGTCCTCTTTCTATAACAGGTTGTTAATAGACACGTGAGAGATCCCAGGGAGAGGCCATTCCCCAGCTACAGAGGAAGGCAACGCCCTCACAGTCCGTACAACAGGACCGTGGGGTACAATTCCTTCCTGACCCAAAATACGGTCTGACCAAGACCCTCTAGCCAGAAACCTCTGGGTTTGAGTCCCTGCGGAAGCACTGGCACAGCCCAGTACTGAGGGGCACTAGCTGGGCTGTGGGGAGCAGGCAGGGCCAGCTCCTGCCCATGCTCTTGTCAACACTCCTGACTCTTTGCTTTCACAACCACTGATAACCCATGAAAACCAAGGGAAAACTGAGCCCACCAGCAACCCCAGCCTCATACCTGCCAACAAACAGGGCCCCTTGACCAGCAGCTCAAAGGTGAACTCGTAGGGGAAGGGGTTGTAGACCTGGCCCCTGAAGACATCAGTGCTCTCGGGAGGTGCCGTGAACGACTGCTCGCTCCGCGGGCCGGGGGCTCCAAAGCAGCTGGTGGGACTGAAACCAAATGCAAGGCACAGTCAACTCTGCTGGGGAGGCCTTCCCAGGAGAAGCCCCATTTGCCTCTGCAGTGCTGCAGCCTGCAGACACTTCAGTCCAAGCAGCCTCCACCCCAGTCTTGCCACAGGCTCCCAGGCATTTCTGTCCCCTCCTCCTGATACCCAGGGATGTCCACTTGGCTTCAATGTATGTACACCCAGGCTCCTCAAGCCACTGGAGCTCCACAATGCCTCGGGACGGGAACACGGAGGCTCCTCTTCCACCCCAGCTCCCTCCCATGCTACTTCTTGGGTAGCTTACGGTCTGCCCCAGGCTCATCCAGGAGACTGGGGACGTTCACTACTTTTGAAACCCAAGCACAGCTCCCCGGTGCGGCACCGTGCTCAGACCTGGTGAAGTGGAGTTACCCACAGAACCAGCCCTCTGTTCTTCATCCTCGCCCCAGGGCCCCCGCTTGCTCTCCCAGCCCACTCTGGGACCTCCTCACTCAGCCCCTGGGATGGCATAGACTCTGAGAAAGCCATGAAAATCACCATAGGGCCAACCTGTCGTCACACAAGCCTCCGGGCTCGCTCTCACATTCAGGGATGGACACGACGAGGGGTGTGAGGATGGAAGGGAAGGTGATGTGGAGCGCACCATCTGGCCGGGTCGCCAGCTCCTGGCTGCTGCTGAAGACTACAGTCAGGGTCTCCGAAGGCCTGATGGGGCCCGTGCTGATGATGAAAGTGGAGCGGTCTAAATCTTCATCCAGAATCAGATGACCTGGGCGGGAAAGGAACAAGAGGGAGTCAAGAGGCAGCTTCCAGTGAGAGCCCTGAGCTGCTGCTAGCGGATACAGGCTGGTAGTAGGATGGGGCTAAGATCAAGGGTATTCATTAGACTAAAAGCTGTCAGGCACGACACAGATGCATAAGCGGGCATGGTCCCTGCCCCTGGTCACAGATGATATGGGGCTGGCACCATTAGCACCCTTCATAGAGGTTCAGACCAGCCTGGAGGGAGGTCATCACTGAAGGGTTTGACAAAGAGAAAGTGGGGAAGCTTGGGACAGGGAGCAGAAAGCAGGAGGAAATGGGGGCAGAAGTGCAGACTGGACTGATAAAGCAGGGTCCTGAGAATGAGTCAGGAACCTGGAACTAGATGGGGAAGGTAAGGAACTGCCCACGAGGGGATCCCACCAGAGCACCGTGCAGGCCAAGGGGCAGGAGAGGAGGGTAGTGGACAGGATGGACTATGAGAGAAGCCAAAGGGGAGAGGAGGGCGCAGTCACACCAGGAGGCGACAAGGGGCAAAGGGCCAGGGGGTAGGGAAGAAGGGATGGATTCTGAAGATATTCTAGAGCAGGAACTGAAAGGACCTCTTAATAGGCTGAATGGCAGGAGAAGACAAACTGAAAGGGCCTGAAGATGATCCTAGATGAGAACAAAGATGTGCTTGTCTGCCATGGGAAGGCAGGAGGGAGGTGTGTGATTTTAAGAGAACACCTGGAGAACAGGCTGAAAAATGAGGAGCTTCAGACAGACAAGGTTCTTTGGGGAAATCTGGTATCTTTTATTAGACGAACTCAAATAGTTGGACAAAAATTATTCTTAGCAAGCTTTTGGGCATAAACGCCCTTCGTCAGGCTGAGGAAGCGTCTATAGATGGTTTGTGCTCTTCCTGGATGGAGTGGTAAAGCAGCCAGAGGCCGGTACGTAAGACAGAGGATTCAGGAGATGCCGGGCAAGCAGCCAGAGATGCAGCCTTAAACATCCAGGAGATTCAAAAGCCTCCAGGGGAGACCATGAAGGAGTGGCTAGAGATAGGAAGGGCAGCAGGGCTGAAATGAGGGGCAGATGCTCAGGTGGGAGAAGCAGTAGTGAACAGGGGTAAAAAGGCGAGGGGTGGGAGAGGGGAGAAAAGGGAGGGCAGGCAGAGGAGACGATTAGTGATGTGAACCCAAACCGCAATGGCGGGACAAAGAGGCAGGCAGCTGGGCTGAAGACATGCAAGGCAGAGTTGGAGCAGAAGACCTCAGGGCTGGCGGAATTGGTATGGCAATCGCAGGAGAAGGATACGAGTGAGACGGCATCGCAGGGAGGCTCTATCAGCTCATGCCTGCAGTCTGGGAGGACGAAACCAGCTGAGAGAGGGGCTGAAGGGAAGCCTTTCTTCAGGAGCGGGTTCAGGGGAATCAACCCTCAGCCACTGCCAAGCCAACACTGGGCTGCTGGGATAAGAGGGAGCAACCTGGCATCGACAGTCCGGCCCCGGGAGAGCAGATCCCGGGAGGAATACGACAGATATAATCTATCACCCTCCCAGCCCCCACAGGACTGGTCTCACCTCCAGGGCCTGTCCAGACTGGGAGACATCACTTTCATTCATGAGGGCAAACCTCAAAAGGGGCAGAGTTTCCCTCGGCAGCATCCAGACATCGACAGGCTGCCTCCGAGCTTCGCTGACCGAGACGCCAGGCTGGGAGCTCAGGAGCGGAGGCTCTGGCTGGCTTCCCGGCATGTCTGACTTCCAGTCGCGCTGGTCTTCCCTTCCCAGGGGGTGGGACCCCCCCAGCCGAAACCCCGAAGTGAAGGGTAACCTTCCAGCCCTCAGGGGAAGCCCCTGATTTCCACCTGTCCAAATTTGAGCTGAGCCACCCTCAGCTGTGACATCCCTGTAGCCACCCCGTGTCACACCACTGCAAGGCAATGCTGTCCAGCCCGCCACACTTACCACTGGCGCAGCGCAGCGGCTGGCCCAGACCGGGGCTGCACTCGGCGCAGCAATCCTCTGCGTGGCGCCGGTTCTGGATCTGGAAGGTGATGCTCCTGCCTCCCGTCTCGGCTTCAAAACCCGCGACGACCTCGGACTCCTCCAGAGGATAGATGAACACCCCTGCAGGGCGCAGAAAGGACTCTGAGGCCGGGCTCTCCGCAGCACCCAAAAGTGCCTGAGACCAGATACACCCTCAGCCTGTGCGTCCCCCGCCCTGCAGCATGAAGTGAGGCCACTTTTCACTGCAGACTCTGGTTTAGCACTGGGGAAGGTCGTGGGGAGCGATGGCTTGCGTTCAGCCACAGAGCAACAGCAAGGACCCCCAAGGGTCTCCCCTTGGTGAGTCCCCCAAGGACCACAGAGCCTCCTGTGTCTTCTCTGCCCTGAAGGACCCCCACCTACCGTGGGGGAAGAGTTCGGCCTCAGCCTCCGTTCAATCCAGAGCCCTTCTGCTGAGCCTCCGAGTGAAGAGGGACACCAAAACCCAGACAGAGACCCACAAAGTCACAGCACCCAGACCCCGGCAGAGCCACCAAAGAGGAGTGACTTTCAGTCACTACGGTGGGGAGGGCAGACTGGAGCTGCGGATTAGAGGTTGGTTTCTCTTTCCCAACTCCCTTCTGAACTAGCTAGTCCTCCACCAAGGGATTTCCAGCTTTCAGCCAAGGCAGGCCAAGGCGGTTAGAAAACAGCTCCAGATCCATTTAAATGTCTATTTAAGGCACCAAAGAGTGCCTGCTCTTTAAAAGAAAGCAGCTTGGCCTTTTGTCGCCTTGTTGAAAGCTATCTGGACCACAGCCTCCTGGATGCCTACCAGGAAAGTCCACTGCCTCCACCTCTTCCTACATCTGTGCTGTGTTGGGTTTGGGAAAGATCCTTCTCCTGACACCAGTATGCAAGTCCTGGCTTAACTGTGTGTATTCCACTGTCTCTTACTGGAAGATGCTGGTTTTGGCTCTGTCTCTCACAGTCCCCTCTAACAGCCGGCCTCATCAGCCCTTGTTAGCTCACCATGTAGAGGCTGGAGGTTCAGGCTAGGGACAGACATTACACATAAACCAGTTTAAGTGACCAGAAACTGGTTTCAACCTGTAACAGAACAGATGTTCAACGCACATAAACCAGTTTGAAAATGGCTGACACCAGTTTGAGATAAACCTGGTTGAATGTAGTATCAGACTTAACTGATTTAGGTTAAACCGGTTTATGTAATGTCTGTCCCAGACCCCTTCCTGGTTTAACTTAAACCAGAGTCCCCCAGCATCCCAGATGCTTTGCAGTCCTGGGCGGGGCTCTCTGCTCCAGGGAGCTGGGCTGGCCCCTCCCCTCTGCTCCCTGACTGGAGCTCCGGCAGAGATGACAGGCACAGCAGCATCTGCCGTGCTTCCCTGTGCCACCCCCAACTCCCCCCCCCACACACACACACACTCCCTGCTCAAACAGGGATTCCCCGCTCCCCCGTCCCAGAGCATGGACCATAGTCAGTATGTGGTATGCTAGATAACGCTGAGAGGTGTCTGTGTAAAGCAGACAGGACAAAGGCAGACAGGACAGTGTCGGCTCAGGGTTTTTTGGAGCTAATCAACAGGTAGCTGGTAATGTCCCTCCATTCCTTCCTTGGAAAAAGCTGTTTAAGAGCTTGAACTAATACGAGAGGTTTTTGCTTTGCTGATGGGCTCATAAATGCTCTGTTATCAACTCCCTGCTGAGCTGGTCAAGAGCAGCAAGGGGAGTGGGGGGAACCCCTCCCTAGTCAGAGCATCCTACCAGGGCCTGGCCACACCCCACCACAGCTCAGCACTGTACAAGGGAAGGGAGGGCTGCTCTAGTGTCCCCCCCGTCGACTTCTAGCTTGAGCTACTGCAGGCATGTGCCTGCATTTCTTCAGTTTAGAGGGGATGTCTGTATGGTTACAAGCTGGTTCAGCCTAGCCAGGTTAGACTAACCTGCAAAGATTGAATCAATTCAGGCTCAGGCTTTTTGAATGTCTGTCCCAGCCACAGAGACCAGGGCTGAGTGGATGGGAGGGGGCTCCACACTGCACTGGGCTGGATGTTACCTGCATCTCCTAGGTCTCAGCTGGGAACAGCAGCCTGCTTAGTCCCAGAAACCCATCTTACCTTCCACGGGCTCCTCTTCAGAGTTGATGTAAGTGAGGTGGGCAGTGAGTCCCAGGGAGTACCCATTGGCACAGGCCTTCACACTTGAGCTCTTCAGAGGCAGAGCTGTCCAGGTAGATGGTGAGTACAAGCCTGGCATGGTCTCTAGACACAGAGCGATGCCAGCTGCGACTGCAAAGAGCGGGTGAGAAAAACAAAAGCAAGCGTGGAAGCCTGGAGACAAGAGGTGGAGATAAGACTGCACACTGACTTCAGCTACGGGGAGAAGATGCCCCCCACGTCTTCCACAGACAGAGCGTGAAGGTTCAGACCACCAGCTGCAGAGTTACTAAGCTGACTGCAAGATTAACACGCTGCACAAGGAAGCTGGGGCTTTGTCAGCACCCTTCCTCTACCCTGCTCTCCCTTCCCCTTCAGCTTCCACGCCCCTTTGCTTTCCTGAATCTCCTCAAATGCTCTCCTCTGCTTCTTCCTCCCTCAGCCTTGACCATCCCACTATCTTCCTCAAGGTTTGCAGCCACGAGGTACCATCCAACTCCTTTCCCTCCTCTCCTCCTCTACAATTGTCCCACTCTCCACCCCTGAGGCTGCTCCCTCACCAGACCTCGTCTGTCTCTCACCTCAGCTCTGCCCAGAGCCATCTTGCTCTGCCCTTACATCAAACCATTACTTTCAGTGCCTTCTAATCCTTCAGAAGAACTGTTTCAAGAAACAGCTTTCAGTAATGAATTCTAGGGGGTTCATCTGCCCCCCTGTCCTTCTCTGAGCGCTCACAATAGGATATGCCTGTACCTGAACTTTAGTCTTCAGCATTTGTGCTGGGCCTGCTGGTTCTTTACAAAGTTATACTGTGTAGATCATGGATGGGGAGCTAAAGAAGACAGCCGCACGATAGCAGGTGCTCAGGGAAGGCTCATTTACCATAACAGCAGTAGAATTCAATTAACTGAGATGCCAGACAGGGAAAAGCCTTCCCCTGCCCCTGCGCTCGATAGAAAATCAAAAACAAATCCCAGTTCCAGTTGCCTTTGGAAACAGATTCAGAGTCCAGCCCCTGGACCTGATTCTTTGCATGGTTAGACCAAACAACAGGGCAGTCGTACTACATTTCTGTTTATTTTTCCATGCAGCGGTTGAGCATTTAGTTGGCATTTTCCAGTGAAACCCACGTCAGAGCCTAAGAACCTCCCAAGTAGCCTCCAAAGACACTGAAGGCACAGGAAGATTTATCCCAGACTATGGAGCATCCCTGGGTGGCCCAAGCACCCCCTTCTACTCATAGGGACTAGACTGTCACAAGTGACCAAACCGTGCCTGGGTTTCAGAGCAGCGTGTCTGCTCTTCCCACGTCCGTTCTCCACCCACAGAGGTAACCAGGGTAATTTATGAACAAGGGAGGGGGAAAAAGCCCCACAGAGTCACTGGGACAAGACAGGGATGGGAGTGTTTGCTTGGGGATTAATAATTAACAGTAAGGTCAACACGCAATCTGAGCGCTGTGAAGAAGGGAAGGAATGGGAGGGAGGGAGATGCAACCCCAAATAACATGCAAGGACACTTGCAGTCCATGGGCAGACCCTGCAGGTCCCTGCTGATCACAGCAGATCCCAGGCCATGCCTACTTGCTACCTTGGGTCACTCACTAGAATGGGGACAGAGTCCAAAGGCCCGGATGCCAACCCATTCCTTCAGTCACCAACCATGGTCACCGACCATGAGAAATGTCCAAAACTATTGCTAGGGCTAAAATCCCAGGGATTTCCAGAGCTAGATGCGAGATGTAATGGTCTCCAACCTGGCACCTCAACAGGCAGGTGGGAGGATAGCCTGCTCCTTCTTGCACCAACAAGTCTTGCAGAGAGGGACTACGTGATCCCTCCTTTCATCCCCATGCCTCCTTCCCTTACAAAGAGGGCTCACCGGGTCCTGAAGGATTCTGGCTCTGAGCTCCCCCGCAGCTGTGAGTCGCTGGATCCCTTCTCCCCATCCCATCTCCAAGGGGGAAGAGTTCAGGTTCCACATTTCACACTCTTCATTTGCTGCAGTTTGTTGGGCCCAATCTACCTGAATGTCTCCTCCTACTGATCAGTCTCCAGCCTCCCCTTTCCCTCCCAACCCAGTCCACTTAAAACACTTTTTGCTAAATTTTTGGACGAACCACAACACATCTTCCCTGCAGATAGACTGCGCAGATCCCTCTTCTCTGCACACACTATGGTGTCCGTGCCCACCCAACTTGATCGATGCCCCACTTCAGCCCTAGCTGAGAAACACCCAAGTGTAGACCGGATACAGAGATCCCCAAATTACTAACACTTGCTGAAGATTTAGCTGTTCTTGGTGGAACAGGCTAAGCAGAAAGGGCAAGGCCAGATGGAAGAGCAGCACCTGGTTTCATCTTGCTCTGGTGGCCTTCATCTTGGGAGCAGCTTATGAGACAGTCTGTAACTTAGGACTCCACAACCCTGAGATTACGGGTTGAGGATGCATCTGCCTGATGCAGTTGGAAAATGGAAGAATAATGGAGGCAAACCTGGGATCGAGTCAGTCACTGTTAAGGGAGATGATGCCAGGGAGCTATACAGACAAGAACCAGCCAAGCAAACAGACCCCAAAAATACAGATGAAAAAATAATGTTATTGCCATGATACTACCTACCCACCCCAAAGATCCAGCAGGACTCATGCCTGGACCAGGAGGCTGAAACTTGGCAGTCCAGCTCTGGGTGTGAATCCACTGAAGTGAGGAGCTGAGGGTATGATTCCTAGCGCGTGTGCCCAGGGATTAAATCCTGGCTCTATTGAAGTCAATGGCAAAGCTCCCATTCACTTCAATGGGGCCAGGATTGCACCCCTAAGGTGTAGGTCAAACTGCATGCAAGGGCTGGGAGCAAACCCTGTCTCTGCAGGGCTGCTTTGTCCTCAGCTGGCATTGACTGGGCATTGCTATAGGGTGAATGCACCGATTACGCTGCAGCTCGCAGGAGCGGCTCTAGACCACGGTGGGCCTGAAAGCCAATAGCTGGAGGGAAGTTCCTATCGATCTGTATGACTGATAAAAGGAGCACAAGACTGGAAGAGCTCAGTCCAGCACAGGGGCCTCTCCTTCTGTAGGCAGCCATGCCACACAGTCCAAGCTCCATCTGAAAACTACTCAGGCCATTTTGCCCTTCGGGGAGGTGATTTCATGCTCACAGGGCTCTGGCGGTTCAAAACCTTCCTCTTATTTCCAACCTAGATTTGTTTCCTATCCGTTTATCCCCATTTGTTCTTGTGCTAATATTGTCCTTTAGCTTAAACATTTCTCGTCTCTCCCTGGTGTTTACCCCGATGTATTTATAGGCAGCAATCGCAGCCTCTGTTTTGCTAAGCTAAACAAGCCAAGCTCTGCTAATCCCTCTAGTGACACAGGCTCTTCATCCCCTCATCACCCTAGCAGCCCTTAGCTGCACCTGTCCCGAGTGCAAATTCATCTCTTTTGAATGCCATGTTCCAAAGGAGCTCTTGCAAGGCACAGGAACAGCAATAGGACGACCCCCCTCTTCTCCACTGGAAATACCTTCTCTGATGCATTTAAGGACCACAGTTGCCTTTCTCGCAGCAGCATCACACTGGCAGCTCCTAGTCACCAAGTCCAACCAACGGATGAGCTCCCAGATGACAGCAGAAGTCCCCACACCTCAAAAAGGATACAGAAGAACTGGAGAAGTTACCGAGAAAGGCAACGAGGATGATGAGTGGCATGGCGGGGCTTCCATATGAGGCGAGACTAAAGAGGCCGGCCCTATTCAGTTTATAAAAGTGACACTTGATGGGGTGAGAAGGGTTTATAAAATACTACATGGTGAAGAGAAAGTCAATAGGGTTTTAGTACTGACTATCTTTTCACAATCCAAGAACATGCCGGGGGAGGGGGTGTCACAAAATGAAAACTAGTGGGTAGTACATTTAAAACTTACTACCTTGAACGTAATTAGGCTGAACATTTGCATTCCTAATTTGCGTGGTTATTGCCTACCCAAATCAAGTAACTGCAAAGACAAATAAGCACATTTTTAAAGGAAAGGGCTGAAACAGCATGGGTTCCAAAAGCACACGGCTGCATTCGTCTGCTCCTGAGACATGCTGATGGAAAATGATATATTAGTTTGGGGGACAGCTTGAAATTACACACACGAGTAACTACGCCGCCTCTCTGCG